TTACAAAGATTTTTCTTCTCAAATCTTATTAGAATTCCGTTTTTTGCAGTCGCACAGCAGTAACTAACTTATCAGGTAGTGGTAGATGTAATAATGAATAATCAGAATCACCTTGAATTAGAATTCACTAATTGTCAACAAATCTTTGCTTAATGCAATCTCTCCAATAATAAAACTTCTCTCAATGCAACTCCTCTAATAATATTGTATAAGGGATACAAGTTTGTAATTTTTTGACAAAATTGGGCTTGACGCAAAGTTTTTGTCTGCTTTTCGCTTGCTAGAATTTTTAGTTTGGCATCATGCACAAAATGAATACAATATCCTTACGTGTCGTGTAAAAACAGTTAGATTTGGAGGGAGAGAAATGCTCGATAATCGGAAACTATGTTACTGAATCTACGCGGCAAGAATCGAGATAAGCAAATTTTTTAATATCTGACTGTTATTTGAAAGAAAAGAATGGATGTTCTGGCACCGCTTTGAATTGGCTCAAATTCTAATTTATTAAATTTAGAACTAGGAAAATCTTCTGATTGCAAAGCCGATAAATGAGAAAGAAAAACTTATAAAGTAGCAGTCCTACAGTTTTTTGCAAAATTCTCTTATCCAGTTCAACGATATTTGCGGAGTGTTCTCGGATGCGAGTGGCGAATACGAGGAGCCACAACCTGTTGTGGTGTCAAGAAATACACAAGAAGACCGTAACCCGTTTGGATCAACATTCTGTTATGGAACTGATCAGATTGTTGTTGAGGTATGCACAGTTTTTATAGTAGATTTTTGTCCTTATCTGTTTCTTATGTCTTACCTAAATCGTAGTAAGAAGCAGTTGTCCTTGAAAAAAGCGATGAGAGCGCGGTTAGCATCAAAGCCACGAAATGTACAGTTCATTGAGTATGAGGTGTTGGGTTGTGAATGGATGAGAATGCACGGCTGAGAAGAAAGCGCTATTTTTGCGGGGGTTTAATCAGAAAGGTGCTGAAAATCAGTTGTACAGAAATAGGCCACTATAAAGCGCGATATAACTATTAAACATACCAATCGTAGACACAAGGTACCATCATTTTGGACTAGTGCTTTTTTCAAATTTAAATTCTTCTAAAGTTTTTAGTTAAATTTGCCATATCTTTTCATTGCAGGTTATGGATAATGGGCACATTGCTGCAGTGACTCTGTTTGAGTAAGTGCTAGTCACATGTTCTGATTTGTGTGGATATGTTTTTTTTCCTGTAAATTTCTTCTTCGATTTGTGAAGGATGTAATTAACTTTGTATAGCTTTTGATTGAAGACAAGCACTTCCATTTTTTTCAGTCCCTTGATGGGAATACAATATGTAATGTAAATACTTCCACTAATGTGTTGTTTGATCAGCTTTTTGTTTTTTGTAGAGTTATGGATACATTTTTGATAAATTTTTTCCTTTCAGATGTTATTAAATGCTGTCTGTCTTTTCAGTCGTTTTATCTTTTTTCTTTCATAAAATCTGATCTACTCACATAGCCTTGTAGTATGTAACAAATTGGACTTTTGTAGTTCTATCTTATTGACTGGGTTTTTGATTGCTCGACGATATGCGTACAGTTCACCATATTCGGCGAATGACAATGTACA